AGTTCAGCTAGCCTCGGCTTACTCAGTGTTTCGGTCTCCATCATTCGGTCGGGCTTCTTCACAGTATGGTGCTACAATCCTGTAGGTACCAGCTGATGTACTGGAGTTGGGGCTTCCTTCTCTGGGGAATATGACAGGGTTTAGTGGACTTACTCCCAGAATTTATTTTCCTGTTAATTTGGGATAGCCCCAGGAATTTGGCATTCCGGGGTTCTGAGGCATCCCTGACTGCTGTTTGGTTTCCTTTTGTTGAGGCCCTGGGCTCTGATGGGGGATGTAGGTTCCTTTTCAGAGCCTTCCTCTGTGGTAGGTGGTGCTCACAGGACATTGGGGTATTTTGTTCCATAGAGCACACTTTTCTCACCTGTGGCCTTCTCATTCATTCTTGGCAAAGATGACAACTTATGCCTTCCTAAGGGGTCTTTTAGCCAGGGAAGCATCATACTCTGTTCTGTAGCCACAGTGCAGTACTTTTAGGATTGGGCTTTTGTTTGCTAATCCTGTGTTTACTTACCTTGTTCCGAGGTCTGCTATTTCCTTTTCATCCGCAAGATGGTTCAGTTCAGTCAGCTGACTGTATTCAAGCTCTCATGATTAGCAGATGTTTTTATTGTGCATGTACTTGTTTTATTGTTATGTACTTTCTGGTGGGGTTTTCCAAGGTCCCGTGGTTGATCTTTGATCTACTGCTTCCCTCGGCTCAGAGTGAGCCAGATTCTAATCCTGGCTCTCGGTAGGTAATGGTTGGGTCTCAGAGACCTGGTACAATATTAGCTTTCTCTTTATTTAACTATATTGTTGGTCCATTACTTACATTTTAGTTTAGAATTACTACAGGTCATGCTGAATTGAAGTACATCTGAAATGCGATGTGTAGGGGTGATTACAAATATAGAATCTTAAAAAATATATAAATGTGTTTTGTGTTAATTTTAGATGTAACATTATTTCATCAGTGTGTGCTATACGCACGTAAAAGGTTTGAGAATCCAGCAGAAGTTACTGGAGAGGATCTACAAGGATTCTTCTTACAATTCACACTCAACCAGCCCTACATAGCCTATGTTAGAGTTTATCTGCTCTTATTGCTGTGTGTTCAGAACTTGTAATTCCTTAATTCCTTGGAACATGTCCACTCTCAGGGATTCAAATTACAGTATACTTCTCGCTGGATAGCATAACGTCTTTATGAACAAAGCTTGTCTAGAAAACATTTTTTCTTTGCCATTTTCTTAGGTGAATGGACATGTCATCAAGCAATTATTTATAACCAATTTTACCATATAAGATTTTATTATAAATCTTCAATATTGTAGGATTACCAACTGTTTGTGCAAATATATGTTCAGCATACAGCACTATGAATCATAGGTGTTTGTCATATAATACAAATCTGTTTTCATATTGGTGTCCCTCTCAGTTAAGCATATTCTTTTCCTCTAGAATGCACCTACATTTTATATTCTTGAAATATTTCTATTGACTACTTAACATTATTTAAATTTCTAGCATTTACTGTACTTCAAATATATATTTATGTATGTTGATTATTTGCACGACATCTTTCGACCCAGCATATTCTTTCTGCACTCCCATTATTATTGTTAACCTTACAAATTCAATATCTGCTCTGATCTGTTAACATGTTTACATGTTAACAGTTAACATCTGTTAACATGTTACCATTCTGCATAAAACGCTGCTCATACTAGTGGCTTTACAAGAATGTGAACACATCGTGCTATGTATTCTCATAAACCCAATGGAACTTCTTGTATACAGTATATATAAATAAATAAATGTTAAGAATCCATAATTTTCGAGGGTATGGGGTTACAGTTACACAAGAGAATACCACACTGTCATACATGGCTCATCCTTGTTATCTTTGGGGCTACAGCATAATAAATGACTGGATTTTTAATACTTTGGATTTTATTAGCTAAATATATGAACAAAGTTTACTACCCAAATCCTTTCAACTTCTTAATTTTATTACCTATTACATTTTATTTCTTTTTCCAGCCCCATCCCCCTTTTTCTGGGAATAGCCCCTTGTGGGCCTTGTGACTCCCTGAAGCACTGGGAAGCCACTGGGGTTTACCAAGAAACTGGCATTTCATTACATTCAACATTATTTTTTTTTTTACAGAAACTTTGTTATCAGTGTTATGTTCCCTTCCTCATTCCCTGTAAATATTCACCATTTCTGTATCTCCATTTTTTATTTTCACTCCACTTCCATATGAGATTGTGCTTTTGTCATGGGGTTCTGGCACTGTGTGGTAGTTAACTGGGGTTTGGAGGATGGGGGGGGGGCACAGGTTTCCTGGATTGAGGGGGGTAGGGTGGGCATTGGATTGTGGGCGGGAAGTTCCTGGGTTGGGAAGGGCAGGGTGGGCATTGAATGGGGTACAGGGTGGGTTTCTGTGGGGAGGGGAGGGTATCGGTAGGGTCGAAGTCCTAAGGGCCCGAACCGAGGCAGAAACAAATGGGCAGACTTTCTTGCACCTCATGCGCCTGTTCACTGAGCAGTAAATAGGTACACACCTGAGAGTTAAAACAGTTGCTACTAGCTGCATACTGGAGGTTATATGTATGCATGAGTAATTTCCCAAATATAGTTACAGGATGAGGGCTAAGCATGTGGTATCCTGTCTTCCCTTATTCTTTTTATAGCCCGTCTCATTTTGACGTATACTTTACCCAAGGCAAAAAACTGATGTAGAAGAAAATGGCAGTGTCTCGTGAAATTGACAATGATGTCCCATTTTCTGTTTGTGTGTCCTCTGGTTGGTTAGGTTAGGGCATCTTAGTATGACAGTTTCTTGATGTTGGGAATGCTCATGAGAAAAGGCTGCTTTGTCATATGTCACTGAGACTAATGACAGTTTTGGCATCCACCACCTTCTCACTTAACATATTCCAACTGTCTACCACTGTTTGCAAAATTGGAATTCTAATGTTTCTTCACAAGCTTTGCTTCCTTAGCTAAAGTCTATGACCTCTTGTTCTTGAAGTTCTAGGGTTCAAGAATTCTTTAATTTTGTCGATTCCTGTTACTACCTGTATTTTATATGTAGTTATCATATTGCCTCTTTTTCTTCTACCTTCTAGCTTGGCGTATTTAATTAATGCCTCTAGCCTTTCCTTGTAGTTCTTGTTTTCAGTCCTGGAATCATTTAGTTGCATGTCTCTGCATCTTTTCCAGTTGATGTGTTTTTTAAGATGTGAGCACCATACAACTGCTGCATATTCCAATTTTGGTCTCACAAAAGTTGTGAATAATTTATTTACTATTTTGCCATCCACATATTTAAAAGCAATTCTGAAGCTAGAAAGTGTGTAATTACCTAAGTGTAGTTACAGGATGAGAGCTACACTCTTGGTGTCCTGTCTTCCCAGCACTCTCATATAACGCTTTGAAACTACTGACGGTTTTGGCCTCCACCACTTTCTCACTTGTTCCAAGTGTCTCCCAAGCTGCGCAAGAAATAGTTCTAATATTTTTTTCGGCACCTTTGTTTCCTTGGCTTGAGTTTGAGTGTGTGTGCATTTTATTTATTTATTTAATTTGTTTTTGCAAAATGTATTTGTTTGCATTCTACATCATTGTAAGTTTATAATATTCATGTTACTGTCCATAAAAATGTCTTCATTGTACTATATATTATGACCATTTCCTTCATCTCTCTCATTAAGCCCTTGTACATGGTGCTGAAGGCATATTACCCTTACTCTTGTATTCACCTAGTTGTGCTTGCGGGGGTTGAGCTCTGCTCATTCGGCCCCGCCTCTCGACTGTTAATCAATCAACTGTTACTACTTACTATCAACTGTTCTTGTGTACATGCTAAGATGACTTGAGCACCATCTCCTGCACTTTCTTGCTCAATGCCACTATAATACTTTTAAAGAAATAAACTAGATTTCACTGGTGCCTGTACAAATAATTACCTCACAATTGGGTGACTGGAGCTGGAGACTGGAAAATCTAAATTATTATAGCAGTGAAATGTACTGTAGTGTATTCTGAAAAATGGGATATACTATAATGACTTTACAAACAAATAATTCATACTATTTAGGTTTTATAATTTCCTGATGAACTGATCAGCTAAAATGTACATACTGTACTGAATATGCAAAAATTTTCAGGCAACGTTGATTTAAACAAATTAAATTTCAGATCGTTTTTCATTAAAATATCAGTGCCAAGAGCTACTTAGTTGAGGATGCAGCAATTCAGAATTTTAATGTCCCTGAGGACATGTCCCTCTTGTTTTAATATCCCTCTTGATATTTATATTTACTTGTATATGAAGTACAGTTATACAGTACTGTATACATTTCATAGACTGCCTCTCAATGCATTATATTTCAAAACACTTTAGCTCCAAATAAAAGCTAAAGAAAACTGAATACAAGCATTGCTTTGTAAAGACTGTTGTTGACTTACTGGTTCATCGAGATTCAGAATTGACGCATCTTGTTTAGCCAAGCTTGGACTGATGTTGTGCATTTACAGAATTTAACTGTCATTCTTCTTTTCAATGTTTATGTTCCATAAACATCCTCTTCCTCTATGTAACTTTAAAGTTTGTAAGTAACAGTTTTATACCAATCATATACAGTCTGCAATATTGTATACCAGTATTGGTATATGCTGTATTTTAGCAATACAGTACTGTAATAGTGAAAGCTAAAAAAAATATATATATTTATATATATTTATATATATTTATATATATATAAAGTATATATATTTATATATATAAATATATATGATAGCATAAAGTTCAGAGATAATTTATATAAAATTCTGTTATGAAAAATATTGAAAATTGTACTAATTTCTGTTGTATTATTTTCTTTGAGGCCATACAGAACTGTGAAATTGAAATGCAGTAGCACTGCTTGGCTATGGGGCTAGGCATTCAGATCCCAAATTGTAATGTGGATAACAAAGGTTTTTGTTATAATACATTATTCTTTGTCAGTGTTCAAATGGACATCTCATGTGTGCGGGATGCTTCACCCATCTTCTTGCCGATGCCCGCATTCGGGACGAGACAGCCACATGCCCCAACTGTCGTGTGGAAATATCTCGTTCCCTCGCCACAAGGAATTTGGGTAAGAATTTTTCTGGTCATTCTGGATCCAGAAATTGCCCAAAGGATCATCATTGTCTGGAATGTTAAAAATAAAGGGTTTACAGTTTGAAATTTGATGTTTTTATTATTCTTCCATATACTGTACATACACATACTTTAATTATTTTTTATATAAAATTTAAATAGAGTAGAGTAGGGCCTACTGTATTCTGTTGTACAGTAGACCCTATTGTACCAAGCAAAAATCTGGTTACTGTAACAAGATGTAATTTCCCAAAATTTGGGCATTTAAGTTAAAGGCATTGATTGTCAGCAAGTGTTGCTTTTAGTTAAAATTTTTGAGGTATGATTATGTAATTATTCTTGCATAAGGTATTTTAAAATTGATATTATATTACTATATCATTATACATAAGTATGGATGATACAAGTGCCTGTGTTTTCTGAGCAAGGCCCCCTCGGTTGCATCCTAGAAGAGCCGTGGGTCTACCCAGGTCACTGCCAACATACCAGTCTCTGGTTGAGTTTGAGACCCACTGTAATGAGGCATTTTTCACTTGGGTTTGTCATACCGTTTAATTTCGTGTACAGTATATGGTTTCTGGCAGAGGGTTTTGACTTGTAAACATTGAACCCGGTTCATGGACCTTGGCTCCTTCCTTGTTTGTTCCAACTTTCCCTTGATTTTATTGGAGGCATCTGTATGAAGGCAGATGATGTCTGGTCAGAGGATGGATTTGAAGTGGCCAGTTGAGTCTTCACAGAATCAGAGGTTGTTTACCCTTCATCCCGGTTTGAGGTTTAGGCTTTGTTGGTGCCTTCTCGGTGCATTTTGTCTTGCAGGAGGGATTGAACATGTCTCCTCGGTGCATTTTATCCTGCAGGAGGGTTTGAACATATCTGGGATAAATAATAACATCGATAAACTGGGAGGCTTTCTCCCAGTTTGTTGATGTTATTATTTAATTCTTCGCATGGTTATTTCTGGAGTGTTGTATGCTGCTGACAGTTTTCTTGTATTAATTCATAATTCATTGTGTCGGGGGACAGGAAGCCACAGTATATTCATACACGTTAGGCTTATATTGAGATATGCATTTGCTGCTATCGACATTTTTTTTTTTTTTTTTTTAGTAAAGTAGTTATCCTCTGTCTTTTATTATAGCCCTATTTTGGTTTAGGCTTGATTTGTTCTCCCATCTCTTCACCATCCTCTGTGCCAAGTTGTGACTTTGTACTAGTGTCTTTTCAAGCCTGTTTTAATAATGCTCTCTCAATTCCTGTGATCTAAGCCAGTCCATTACCTTTCATTACCTGGTCAACCCACTAGTGTGTTGGGATGGCTGTCATCTGTGTAATTACTCTTGTGCATCATGGAGAGTTCCCCCAGGGTACCAACTGAAGGGGTCAAGTTCAAAAGTTAGGGCATTGCATGAAACTAAATGCACTTCTCTGAGCGGTCCTCGGCTGCTCTGTTATTGCTCCCTGGGTCTCATCATCCTTGAATGTGTGTTGGTGGACTAGGGGCCAGATTCACAAAGCAGTTACACAAGCACTTACGAACTTGTAAATTTTTTCTCAAAATTTGGCGGCTTTGTTTACAATTATTAAACAGTTAATGAGCTCCGAAGCCCTAGGAGGCTGTTTATAACAATAATAACAACAGTTGATTGGGAAGTTTTCATTCTTGTAAACTGTTTAATAAATGTAACCAAAGCTGTCAAAAACTGAGGAAAGATGTACACGTTCGTAAGTACTTGCGTAACTGCTTTGTGAATCTGGCCCTAGGATTAGTGTGAGGGATGCCACCCCTACCAATCATTTTGTTCTGGCTAGTGCTATATAATATAGTATGGTGGTTTGCTAGTTATGTAATTTCCGAAGAACAATGGCGATTCTTTCAGTTTCAGTGATCTTTTAAAGGGGCCATTGAAGGTTTGATCAATTTTGTCAGTGTCACAGTGAGGTGGTGTATCAAGGTATGCTCTCCACTCTCTCTACCCCCTGAACTATGTGATGATAGCATTCAAAACATTCCTTTTCATTGTGGGACTTAAAGCTGACCAGAGCCTGGCATGTATGGAGTGACCTGAATTGCTGCATGCATGACCTTGTTAGGGGACTACTCTGCATGACCACTCTGAAAAGGGTTTCATCTCGCTCAATACGATGTTTTTGTATTGTTCATGGTGTTAATTCGGTACCTTTTGTTTTAACAACTGCTGTGAAGTTCAGTTTAGGTATTGTTTCAAAGTCTTGTCCTCCTTATCACTGGTACACCTTTGTTATCATCATCATAATCCTCAGTCATTATTGGATAAGTGGAATATTTAATGCACTGAACTGAGTCTACTACTGTCCATAGTTTAATATTGTCCATTCATGATTGCCTAATCTGCCTTACTTTATGACAAGGGAATGAATGAAATCTTGTACACATGGAGTCTTTGAGAAGTGTGTGTGTACGATGTGCCAGTCAGATGCCATTTATCATGATTTCGTCTTTAGAATGAGATCTATGCTTGGGGTCAGCTATTATCGTTTTCAAGCATCTATTTCCAAAGATGATTTCCCTCCATATCTTTGTTTTGAGTCACTCCTAAATGTGTGAACCATGTTCTGAGTCACTTCTGGCTGTGTGAACCATGTTCTGAGTCACTTCTGGCTGTGTGAACCATGTTCTGAGTCACTTCTGGCTGTGTGAACCATGTTCTGAGTCACTTCTGGCTGTGTGAACCATGTTCTGAGTCACTTCTGGCTGTGTGAACCATGTTCTGAGTCACTCCTAAATGTGTGAACCATGTTCTGAGTCACTTCTGGCTGTGTGAACCATGTTCTGAGTCACTTCTGGCTGTGTGAACCATGTTCTGAGTCACTCCTAAATGTGTGAACCATGTTCTGAGTCACTTCTGGCTGTGTGAACCATGTTCTGAGTCACTTTTGGCTGTGTGAACCATGTTCTGAGTCACTTCTGGCTGTGTGAACCATGTTCTGAGTCACTTCTGGCTGTGTGAACCATGTTCTGAGTCACTCCTAAATGTGTGAACCATGTTCTGAGTCACTTCTGGCTGTGTGAACCATGTTCTGAGTCACTTCTGGCTGTGTGAACCATGTTCTGAGTCACTCCTAAATGTGTGAACCATGTTCTGAGTCACTTCTGGCTGTGTGAACCATGTTCTGAGTCACTTCTGGCTGTGTGAACCATGTTCTGAGTCACTTCTGGCTGTGTGAACCATGTTCTGAGTCACTTTTGGCTGTGTGAACCATGTTCTGAGTCATTCCTCAACCCATCCTCAGACCAAGTCCATTCCATCCAGCTGTTGACCCCAAAGACACATTCATCAATTTTAACATGCTATTCATTCAAAATAGGAATTCTCAAATATAAATTAATATTGTTAAATATTAGCATACTGTACATATTTAGGCACTGGTTAGGTTATGTTTAGTTTTTTTTGGTCAATTATTTGTATTTATAGTACAGGGGGTGAAATATTTACAGCATTGTGGTTCGAACAAAAGTCGTCAGTGAAGCACTTGTTCTGGAAATGTTTGAACATCATCAGTTGTCAGTTGTGTGTAAACAGTTTTTCATTTATTTATAAGCTGAAGGTTTGTTAGGTGCATGGAATCACTTTTGGCCTTTGTTTATGAGGACGGGCTGCACTCCTAGCTGAATGAACCATATTCTGAGTCTTTCCTAGCTATGTGAACCAAGTTCTGTGAAAAAAGTTCAAAGACCCACTTAGGCATGTGAAACAAGTTCTGAGTCACTGTTAGCTATCTGAACAAAGTTCTGTAGCTGTCATTTTTTTTTTATATAATGTTTACATTGCCTTGACTGCTGGGGTTACCTTTATATTTTAGGTATGAACTCTGTTTTATGCCATGTTGGTCTCCTCAGTATTTTCCCAATTTGCAAAGGTTGATACGGTAGAAAGAATTTTTGTCCAATTATTATTTATTTCTTTGCTTTTTTGTGTGCTTATCTTCTCTTTGAGACTCCTTGTTTTATCAAGATTACTAGCTAGAACTGCCACAGAACTAAAGGGTTGCAGAGCCTTGTTGGCATCACTTTGCCCAAAGTATGCAGCTGGCTTTCTTACACTTGATTTGCTGCTGTGATGCTCCTTCCTTGCTTCTGGTATACTGTAATTGGTTCAAGAAAGATTTGAAATGTTTAGGTGACAAATTTACAGCTGTCTAATGACTCCCTGTCGTACTGCTACACACACAAGATGGATATGTATATTTTTTAAGTCTCTCTCTATAGACAGTATTTTGTACTGACATGATGCTTAAAAGTTTCTTTTTAATCTCTTCTATTTGTTGAGATGGGATAACATATTTGATGACCTCTGTATTTCTCAGGTAGTTCATATAAATACAACTTGCTGGATGTGTGTTGAGTTTGTCCTTAATCCTATTTATTATGGGGCTATAGTGCTTTCTGCCTGATACTGCTGTTTTTTCCTCACAGTGGAAAAAGGGACACATTAATAAGAATAGTATTTGACTTTGCTAGCAGAATAAGCTGCCAATTCTTTAGTTCGTGACCTGTCAGATTTGTGACTGAGAATCTGTGATTAGGCCGGTTATGTTAATTAAATTTGATCATTCCAATCATATTACAAATATTATATTAATCTATAATCACATTTGCTTTTTCAGCCTTCAGTGTATCATGTACTGTATTTATTTCTCTACCTTTTTCATTTGTTTGGGTACTATTTTTCCTTAAGTGCCAATGTTATTAAAACGGTTGCATTTTTCACAGCATTCAAATCATCTTGCTACTGCTTATATAATTGAATGCATATTTTTTGTTTTAGCAAGCTGTTCTTAAGACTAATTGGTCAGGGATGTGTGTGTTTCTTGTGCCTTACCAAGTCCATCATTGATAATTAAAAATTGAATTATATCTATATCTGTTATTAATTACTAGGCTATTATTCTTTTGTAGCGGTAGAAAAGGCTGTGTCAGAACTGCCAGCAGAGTGTCAGTTTTGTGGGCAGAAGTATCCTCGGAATTCCCTTGATCGCCATGAAGTTGAACTTTGTGAGGAAAGGTAAGAAATTGTTTGTTACTAATTTTAATTATTACGTACTATACAGTATTTCCCATTCATTTGTTATTGTACCTCACCTCACTCCACCATTCTCTCCTGCCTATTTATGTCCAATACTTGACCTGTTAAATCACTCCTTCTGAAGATGTATTAATATACGAAAGTACCTAAGGAAATTCCTGTTTCAATTTTCCTCCATGGTCTGACACTGTCATACTATACAGTAGTGTATTATTCCAGTTAATCAGTTATTAAAGTCATTAAATCTTAATAATTCCTTGGTGTGACTAGAGAACTCAGGGTGTTTTCATGTATAATTACAGTATGGTAAATGCAAATGAATAAATATAAATGTAATTATTACTTCTGGCCTGAATGGGTGTCAATAAATGGAATGCAATAATGTAGTCATGCAAGCTGCCTCCAGTTACAATTTCAAGGCAGCCCGAGTCTGCAATAACACACTCAAATGTTAGATTTCAAAAAGTCAGCAGGTACAACAAGGGTAGTAGGAGGACATAAAGAGCTAGACGTGACCACCTTACAGTTACTGTTGGGGGTTTACATCACTTGTATATAATTCCATGAATATGTACATAAACCATGAACATGTACATGAACCATGAACATGTACATGAACCATGAACATGTACACCAACCATGAACATGTACACCAACCATGAACATGTACACCAATCATGAACATGAACTATGAACATGAACCATGAACAGTACAGAAATACATGAACCATGAATCATATCATGAATATGATGAACCTAATTAAATATCATCATCCTCCTCAGCAGCAAGTGTAAGATAATGAAGATTGGGAGACTGAAGACCAGAAAGAATGTAAACAATAAGACAGACGCTTATAAAAACCGCAAAGAGACGAAGACATGGGAATGGACATAATTCCAGCAATGACACCAGAGGTGCACTCAAATTGGATAACATTAATAACATACTGCGTGGAAAGTGGCAAATAATAGAACTTCATTAAAAGCTTAAATGAGGACTAAATTAAATAAAAACATAAATATGGCCATTTCTTGGTTTGGGTGATTTTCAATCTCCTGCCTCACTCTAAAAAGGGGGGGGGGGGGGGCTAGGATCTGGTTTGTGGTCCCTGGTAGGCTTATTTATGACACTTAAGGGCCTTGCATGATTGTAACTGGGTGGAGCTTACCAGACAGCAAGCATTAATGAAGCATTAATGAGCCACCAAAGAGCCATTAGAAACAGGCATTTCATTATCCCTTCATGCTGATGTAGCTGAATTTAATTAATTTCAATTCAGCTGAGGTGAATTTAAATTCTGTTGTATGTAAAGATACCACTTATTTGTTAGCTTAAGGATCTGCTCGAAACATTTCGTGCTAGTGGCTTTGCACCAATGTTCCACTGAATTACCAACTTATGTACTTTCACAACCCATTGTACCTTCTTGTATATGTATATAAATAAATAAAATACATACATATTACAGTAATTTTTTGCATAAAAAAAATTGTACAGTACTTCAGTGTATAGTACATTAAAATATAGCACATGAAACATTTCATCCTTTAAAATTTGCTATTAATATTCCACGCTATTTGGGCAAGTGAAAATCTTAAACCCATGGTTGCTGTTCCTAACGTTAAGAAATTTAATAAAATCGATTCCCAGATGATTTTAATTTCCCAATATTTTTATTACAGGAGACCTTGTTTATTTTCTTACAAATTTTATAAATTTGACTCGAGTTAAATTACATTCATATAATATGAATATTTACATAATAAGTGTGTATGTTGCAGACCAGTGCATTGCCAGTATAATGTTCTTGGGTGTGGGTGGCGAGGTCCACATCACGATGTTACCAGTCACGAGCAGCAGTGTCAGCACCCCTCGCACACGGGGGAACAGGTCGGCATGCACGCACTCCTCTACTTATTTTCAACACAACACATATTCAATATGCTGTGTCACTAGTCTTTGAAATTCACATATTCAGTTTAATTTCGACAGAGTAAATATGGAAGTACTGGACATTATTCATCTATACATTTTTGTTAATATACAGCTTTGTTTAATATCTGAAATAATTACTGTACATGATTAAACATGTAGGATTTATACGTTACTGTACATAAATTAAGATTCAAATGAAGTTGGTAACTTTATCTTACAGTATTACTAAAGCAAAACTTATTAGATAATTGCTAATCATGTGCATCTGTAATGGGGCTGAACCCACTAATGCTCTATACTATTCAGGTTTTCTCACACCTGCAAAGACAGGCGGAGACTGCAGAGGAGGCCTCCAAGACTTTCAATCAAATTATGTCAGTACTTTCATTTGAAAAGATCACATTTAATGGTGAGAACCAGTTATCCAGGATAGTTTCATATGGAAACCATATTTTATATAGTAACTTTTCATTGTATTATAAGTGTGCTTGTGCTTTGTTGGATGATGAAGAAATATTTATATGTTTCTGTCTTTGGAATGTATTAATATGGGTGAGCAAATGTGAATATATAAATGATTACTACATGTGCTGCATTGCATTGTGTGTTGTGTTGCATCATGTTATATGTTGTATTGTGTATTACATTGTATGAGCTTGTGATGTGATCTGTTGTGTTGTTGGGTATGCATATTGTGCATTAAAGTGTGTAATTACCTAAGTGTAGAGTGTAGTTACAGGATGAGAGCTACGCTCGTGGTGTCTCCTCTTCCCAGTACTCTTTGTCGTATAACGCTGTGAAACTACTGACCGTTTTGGCCTCGACCACCTTCTCGTTTGTTCCAATGGTCTGCCACTGATAGCAAAAGAAAATTTTGTAATATTTTTGGCACCTTGGTTTCCTTAGCTTGAATCTGTGTCGTCTTGTTCTTGAAGTTGCTGGTTTCAGGAATTCCTCTTTGTCAATTTGGTTGATTCCTGATAATATTTGTAAGTGGTGATCATATCATCTCTTTTTTTTTCTTCTATCTTCCAGCTTTTTCACGTGTGTCTGTGTTTGTTTGCATTTGTTTGGGTGTCTGTCTGCATGTATGTGTAAGTGGGCATGTGTGTGCATGCATGCACATGTGTATTAGCATGTATGTATAATAAATGTATACATATTTTAAATACATTATAAATGTTCAATTTTATCACATCGATCCTTTGAAAACAAGACTTAAACTAGTTGTCAAAGAGTTTTTGTTAAAAGAAAGATTAATCACTGAAAAGTAAACTACTTTATTTTTTCCAATATACAGTATATTACTTTTCAAATTGTAAGGGAAGTGGTACTATCAGGAGAAAGTGCCAAACTATTACGACTATATAGCACTTGGAAGGGATTAGGATAAGGGTACTATCAGGAGAAAGAGCCAAGCCATTACGACTATATAGCACTTGGAAGGGATCAGGATAAGGATTTGGGATGGGATTTTGTCCCGATTTTGGCACACTTTATGTTGTATGTGTAGTTTGTAGTGTAGTTTAGTGTAGTTTGTAGTGAAGTTTAGTGTAGTTTGATTTAGATTACTTGTACACCTGTTGAGTTCGACCATTATTGTAATGATTTCTATAAGTTGTTATGAACATAGTTTCTGATTCATAATTTGACAAAATGTAATTTTATTAAGTCACTGATAAATGTATCTTCTAAATCTAAATCTTGCATATACAGTATATAATTTATAGACATTATATGTTTTTATTATGACTCGTGTAAATAATTTACTGTAAACTTTTGTAACGTACCCAACTATAAATGTACAAACATTTATAAATAGTTAGTTTTTTAAATTGTTATATATTTAGTATCATCAAATTCAACATTGCTTCTCTTTCAATACGTTACTATTCTTTATATGTCTTCAGGAGTACTAAAGTTGTCCCTGGTTTCTAAATTGTATTTTTATAATGCAATACAGTTTAACTTTGACAACAATATCTTGTAATTTATGTTTTCTCAAAAGATTTGCAGCTGAAACCTTACCGGACAGATGAATTTATCCATAAGCTGTTCTACGAGACAAGCCGGTTCTCGGCTTTAGGCTACCAGTGGGTGATAAAGGCACGCCTCAATGACAACCAAAAGGATCCTCACCTTACATGTAACAGATTTATTACGTACCAGGTAACTAGATAACAGTCCTTTAGTATCTGTTATTTAACTTTTTGTTGTAAAAAATTATAGAAAACCTATACTTTTTTTTTTAAACGCTGTAATGTGTTTAACCTCTTTGACAGGTTCTTATCAACTTTTTTCTTAACCATGACAGGCATCTTTGTAAATGGTCTTAAGTTATGCAGCCTCGAGAATGAAGACAGTGGAGAATTCCCAATCTGCTGCCAAATGATAAATTTGCTATAAAACAAAAGGGCAAATTATGAAACAGAATCCCCTTGCCATCTGAATAATTAGGAATGATAATTATTCAGATGGAGTCACAATAACATGGTTGAAAAGTTGACACCCAACCCACAAATCTGAAATTGACACACTGACATGTTTCGGTTTGTCCTGGACCATTATGAAGTCATGTAATGAAAAACAAAAGTGGTTTTTGTGCAATTGACCACTTTGTTGCGATTGATTTTCATTTCACAGCACATTAATTAAATATTCGAACCTACTTAACAAACATGATCTGACTTAGCTGTAGCCTCTCTAGGATCTTCTTTCTGCTATTAATGTTATGTTACTAGATTTTGTACATTATTTTTCTTACTTTTTCTTGATTATCTTATTCCTTTTCTTCTTCTTTTCTCCATTCCTTGCTTGTAACCTTTCCTATATTTTACCCATTTTTCTTAATGCCTGCCTGAGTTGCATCCTTGTTGTCTGTTGGTAGGGCCTCGCAGGCACTTCCCAAGTTGCTTATTCCTCTCCTTTGGGAGGTAGTGCCAGACATCTGTTTTGTTATTGGGCTGTTCTGATCCATACCTTAGATTTGACTTGATCTTTGTCCCTTTGTCCTCCCTTTTGTCCTTCACCCCCCTTTTTTGCCTCTAATTTTCCAAGGATCTATATCGGTTCTTCAAATATCTTCGGTTCTTTCAGCATCGCTTATGTTTTGAGGGAAGGTTCTTTCGTTGTTCACTCCTTTGACAGTGCTGTTGAGGAATGTCTGCCTCATTTTACCAATTCTTGATCCCATGATGTGAGGGTCATCTGGGTGATATCCCCGGTCCTGCAGTGGTGGTCCTCGACCCCTCCTTTGGTGTCAGGGGTTCAGGGCCAGCAGTTTACCCTGCAGTTCCTCTTGGTCATCACAGAATATAGTTGGATGCCAGAGTAGTCACATTAACCCCCTGCACTGTGATGGGCATCCTGGTTACTCCTAGTCACCAAATGAGACTCACCAGAGCCTGCAGTTATATTCTTGGCCATTCATGTTTGAATCACTTCATTCCTTGTCTAACTTTCTGCACGATTACCTCAGATCATATCAACCTGGTTTTGAAGGCCAACTCCCGGATGGTGTCCCTGGATCTACTGAACATTTATTAGCATGTTCCTATTCATCCTTGGATCTAAGATTTGTTAGGTTTTTGGCAGTGTAAGGAGTAATTTTCGACAGTTGACTTTGACACATTGCAGTGCACTCAGTTGGGAAATTCACCCTTGAGTGCCCCGGAATGTACAAAGCCAGAGTGCATGTCCTATAATTCTTATGCCTAGACCGAGGTCTAGCATGTCGGATGCCCGTGAAGCTCTCATTACAGTACTAGCAGTGTAGTTATGCCACAATTGGTCTTCGTGAATCCAGTGTATGATTAGATATGAAGTTTAAGCATTCATGTAGTAGAAACTAAGTGTCCAGGCATCCACTATCGTGAGAGGTGTAGACAGTGCATAAGCCACCAAGGGACGATAAACCCGAGACCTTGAGGGTCAGTTTGCAATCATCATGACAGAGAAGCGTGATGTATCCATGATACCTCTTTATCTGAAATGTATAGGCCTATACCACTGAATCCAGCACAAGTGCCTAGCTCCCATTAGTTAATTCACAGACTGATGGTTGTGTTTTTGTGAGGCCCTGGTAAGGTTCTCCAGGGCCCATTATCCTCATTCTTGTCAAAATTGTACATTGAGGAAGTGTGTTGAAACATATGACTACCATGTTTTCTGTTGGGATTAGTGGCCAGTGGTGAATGTGGCAGTAATGTCTGAGTGAAAGGATTATCTTTGGTCACTTTGTGTTGGAATGAGAATTCTCCTCAGTTTTCACCCCCAGGTTATGTAGTAAGTTTATTTGCAAAGATACTTGTCATGGTGGGGACAGGTTTGCATGTCCTGGGTATTCTATGGGTGTTGGCTCGAGGAGCAAGTAATGGACTAGTTCTGAGGAACACTTTGTTACACAGTCTTTTTTACATTTTATCTTTTACTTTCTTCTCTTACCTAACTGCTGTTTCCCATACTAATATTTACTGATACTGACTAATTGTAAATACTGAAGGTGTTTTTGTTTATTTTATTAATCCCACATATGAAAAATATGATCTTTATTAACTGATGTTCAACTGATGATACACAACAAAATGTTAATTATTTAATTTTGTGGTAAGTGCATTGTTCCATTGTTTGAACAGTGCTGATTTTTAAATTGCCAAGCTATAACTTGTTATTTCATTGCAGTATTAGTGTGATCCCATTCTCATAAGACTCCATAGACCTATTCTATTCTAGTAAATGTATGTACCCTTTTTTCTTTTTTCAAGTTGATTGTGAAGAATAAACCTAGCAGTCCCATGACAGTTCACTTCATGATTCTTCGAGGGCCTTTCGGAGACATGCGTGTCGATCCACACATATGCCAGTTTGAATTTACTGAAAGCGGCAGCGAGAGTCCCTTTTTTGCCTTGCCGCTGCCTGACAGTGCAGAATGTAATAAACTTCTGGCTGCCCGCATTATTGACTTCAGGTAAGTGTTCACATTTTTCTAGTGTTTTTCATTGGAGTTCTTTCTTTCAGTGCAAGTAAATGGCTGGAAATTAATTAACGAAGAACAGTTATCACTACACATTCCACAGCAGACACAAGATGATTTATTTATTGATTCTCTATTAACTGAATGTGAAATTCAAACTCTTACAATTAATATTTATATTTCCACAGTAAGTAGCAAAGATAGGCTATGTTGCTGTCTTCAAACATGCATCATACAATCAACTTTCATTTTCTGGTGTATCTCTCAAGAAAAGTTGAAGTTGTGCATATGTGATGCTGGTATATATGTGCGATAATATTTTGGTGTGTATTTATGATACAATGGTAAAGAAGTTTCTGCATGGAAATCTGTATTTGCAGTCCAGCTATATTTCATCTGAGTTAATTTAATTTTATGGTATGCATAATCAACTTCTCACATTTGGCCATTTATATACAGTATAGCACTGATACATTCCGTAATTATTACAAACTCATTAGATCTATGGGAATGGTGTTATGGCAAGTCAGTTGTTTTCCTAATACTGTAATTGCATTTCTATTCAAGTATTTTTTATTTGCTTTATCCAGTGGTGTTAATATTTTGTGGAATCTCTCTTTAAATTTGTTATATTTCATTAAACTTTGTCACATAACAATAAATGTTAGTGAAACTACAACAATAGTAGGCCTGTGCATGCTTAGATTTAGTCTGCCTATATAAAGTTTATCTTAATCTCTTGGCTAGTTTTGATGTAGTCAATATTCAAAATTTAATGACCAAATCTAGTACTTTTGTGATAACTCCTCTTTACCTTTAGTACTTGATAACTCCTGCCTTTACCAAAGAATTGTCTTTGACAAAAAAAAATTGTTTGAAAGGCTGTCAGTTGTGCAGCTTTAAAGGACGAAGCATCAATCCACAAGATTTCTCCTGGTTAGACTCCTAATTCCTTTTCAAACATGCCTTTCTCCCAGGTTTGGGCTCCAGCGTCGTCATAGTGGACGAAGTCAAGCTTATATTTTTGGAAGATATTTCAAGACTTATTTCACTGAGGGCAAATGCACCCATTTTTATCAAAAGTTTTTGCAGATTGTTTATCTTTTGTCTAATGCAAATATTTCTTTCTCTGTGCAGTCTTGACCTTAAACACTTGCTCTTCAATATTTTTCATCTTGATTTATGCTGCCACTCTATTTGCTAGGACATAAAAATTCTGTACGGTTTCAAATCTTCAGTTTTAATTTGTCACTTCTCTCATAATTTACATCAAACTCCCTGGAAACTTGAGCAAAATCAATGTTTTGAAAGTACAGTATTCTCAAGGATGTGCTGGACACGTCATACAACTTCCATAACCCACACATAAACACATTTGTTATCTTCTTTTTTTCAGAATGCGCCCAACTTCCCTTCAAGAAAATATGTAATGTATATGTCACAGTTAAACCAGCCTTTATGATGTCAGAAAAAATCATTCTCAATTTTTTCAATAGATGAAAAGATTAAGGTCAATGATGAAAAGATTAAGAATGGTTGGAAAGGAAGAATTCCATGATTATAATTTTGAAATTAGTTTTTCCATAATCAAGTTGTGTGCATTGGGTAGTTTCTGCCCAACACTCGTGTTGTATACACAAGGATCAAATTGCTATGAAGCTTGTAGTAAAACACGAATTCTACAATAAGAACTGTTATTGTAACTTGGGTGTTGTAACAAGGGAGAAATTATTATTATTATTATCATTATTATTATTATTATTATTGTTGTAGAATTTGTATATATAGTATAGGACTGAGAACAAGGATGTATCAAGCATAATAAGTGATGTAGTGTAGGCACTATCAAAATACTTATGTGGCAAGTTATAAAATATAGTAAATCACTTTGAAAAGTACTGGTCTAGCCTCATTACTTTTCAATCAGTACCCGCCTAATTACCACGCCTTCTTTTGTTTCTGTAAAAATTTTAAAGGAACATTTGTCAAATTACAGTATTCAAAAATATTGAAGCGCAATATTAACTATTTTGTTTTATATCTTTGCCAGGTTGATGATGGGCATGGTTACCAAATAAAAGGTTGGGGGTTCCCGGCCCTGGCACACTGTGGCACTACAGTGTATTAAGATGTTGACCCCGAGTATGTGCCACGATATTCATTGGCTGACCCCACCATGTGTATGCTCAAAAAACTCGCATCATCTTTTTTTTTTTTAAGGTATATTTGTTTATATACTAAATCTTGGTGTTAGCAATGCCAGCTGAAAATAATTTGTGTATGAAAGAAATATATATATAGTTTGTGTGGGCTTGTGTTTGTGTGTGTGTGTGTGTGTAATTGCCTAAGTGTAGTTCCAGGATGAGAGCCATGAGCATAGTGTGTGTGTGTGTGTGTGTGTGTGTCGTATCAAGCTAATTTTGTTCCAAAGATTTTAAATAGTGGATTCACAGATATTCTTAATTTAATGAATAAAATACTTTTTATTTTATTTTAACCAAAACTAACATAACAATATGACCTAAACTAAATAGGCCTATTTTTCCAAGTATACCCTGATATAATTAAAACTAATTCCAATTTAGTAAATCATTAAGTTGATATCTGTTAATATTATTAAGGGTTGGTTAATTTTTAAATATTTGATAATCACTGTTGGGCAAAACAATACTTGGTTATCAGGTCTAGCAGTGCTGTTCTAGCTATTAGATACGACATTACTCACACACACATGGTATGTAAATTTGAATGCATACTGTATATGCATATGCTTTATATATATATATATATATATTATATATATATATATATATATATATATATATATATATATATATATATATATATATATATATATATATATATATATATATATATATATATATATATATATATATATATATATATATATATATATATATATATATATATATATATATATATACACAGTGGCACCTCGATTAACAAGTTTAATCCGTTCCGGCACCGAGCTCGTCATGTGGAAAACTCGTCTTGTGAAACAACAACAAAACTGTCGTAAAAGGTGTCTGAAAACCAGCAGAAACGCTCGTTAATCGAGGAAAAGCTTGTTAGTAGAGACAAATGTTCTGCGAGTGGCTTGCTTGTTACTCGAAATGCTCGTAGATAGAGCCGCTCGTTAAACGAGGTGCCCCTGTATATATATATATATATATATATATATATATATATATAATATTGTACCTAGTAGCCAGAATGTTGTACTTGGCCTACTATGCAAGGCCCAATTTGCCTAATAAGTCAAGTTTTATTGAATTTATATATTTTTCAATTTTTTTTACGAAATGATTAATCTGGCTATTTCATTATGTATAAGTTAATTTGTTTAAATTTGAGTTAAAAGTAACGTAGATATATGACCGAACCTAAGCAACCCAACCTAACCTATCTTAACCTAACCTAAACTAACACAACTTCATCAATAATTTATGTTCCTAATATAATAATATAATAATAATTAAAATAAACTAATTGGAAACAATTTATTGAAAATAAAAAAAATCACTCGGCCTATTAGGCAAATTGGGCCTTGCATAGTAGGCCAAGTAGTATGTTCTGGCTACTAGGTATGACATACATATATAATGTCGTACCTAGTAGCCAGAATGCACTTCTCAGCCTACTATGCAAGGCCCGATTTGCCTAATAAGCAAAGTTTTCATGAATTAATATTTTTTTCGACTACCTAACCTACCTAACCTCACCTAACCTAACTTTTTCGGCTACCTAACCTAACCTAACCTATAAAGATAGGTTAGGTTAGGTAGGGTTGGTTAGGTTCGGTCATATATCTACGTTAATTTTAACTCCAATAAAAAAAATTGACCTCATACATAATGAAATGGGTAGCTTTATCATTTCGTAAGATAAAAATTAGAGAAAATATATTAATTCAGTAAAACTTGGCTTGTTAGGCAAATCGGGCCTTGCATAGTAGGCTGAGAAGTGCATTCTGGCTACTAGGTACGACTATATATATATATATTTTATTTATATATATATATATATATATATATATATAAAATAATCACACACACACACACACAAACATACATACATACATACACACATACAAAAACACACACACACACACACTGTAAATACATATACAGTACAGTATATATAATGTGTATTCTCTCCTATATTAGGTAGATTTCTGTAATTTCCTCACTCTGAACCATCTGGGGTCACAATTTGTTCTCTATAGACGAAGAAAATGTGAAAGTTATAAACATTTGGCCCAAAGCGTGTAAAATCATGTTCTCCCTATTTAGCAACTGTTAATAAATGTAAAAATATAGTTGGCTGCTACTTAGGCTGCAAAGCTTACATACACTGTAAAGGTTGATGGGAGAAGAGGTCTTATTCTGTAAGCTAGCACGAGCTTTGATCCTGTGATTCCCATGTGACATTTCCTAGGGCTTTTTATAGGAATCTCTGTGATTTTATAATCTTAGTTCCCCCTTCTCATAGATATGAACAAGGAAAATAAAATTGATAACTCAAACGTGAACATTTCATTTGCTTGCAAATAGTTTTAACCTTATAATTGTGTTTGTCATCTGAATCAAGCAAATTAAAAAATGGAATTTCAGAATGGATAAGGTAATGTAATGTGGTGATATGCCTGTGTCTTACTTGAATTCACATTGTTATTGAGAATTATTTATTGCAATATTAGAAAAAAATAAATGATTTGGTAAAAATTGTACATACACATACCCACACTCAAGCACTTACAAAGAAATATACATACATAATTAAGATACTGTACTGTTACATTCAGATTAGCATACAAATATATTGTCACTACACATCTGCACAAGTGTGATATACAGTCACAACACATCTATATACACATGTGATATATGATCATAACACACCTATATACACATGTGATAAACAATTTTAACACATCTGTGCACACACATGATATATAATCACAACACATGTGGACCAATTTCTTGAAACATGCATTAATGGTATATTATGTGTTGTTAGTTAACCATGGTCATGCACAGGAAGTGCATTATTCTTATCAATTATACCCCCAAGCAAGTGGCAAAGCTGTCTGCACGATCACCCATCCAGATCTGGCCTTATTGTGATGGGTTGTGTGATGTGCATCCACAGCACATGTGTACAAACACAAAAAACAAAAACACATATATCTATTCCTTTAACAAGGAAAATAAAATTGATAACTCAAACATGAACATTATATATTTATCATTTTTTGTGTAGAAGATATGTGAACACACACACATAATTTCACAAGAGTAGATATTTTAAAGTTTAAAGTAATTTAAATACTTTGTTCTGTGAATTTTTGTATGGTGGTTGGGGCAGTGTACTGCAGTCATCCCATACATTACATTCTTTGTGGTGTCCCGTCTTCCCAGTACTTCTTTGCATATAACATTTTTAAACTAATGATGGTTTTGGCCTCCAGGACCTTCTTGTTCCACATGAACAAGCTCCATATGCACTTGTTCCAACAGTCTACCACTCTGTTTGTAAAAGCATATTTTCGTATATTTCTTTGGCAGCTTTGTTAACTTAAATCTATGACTTCTTGTTCTTGAAGTTCCAGATCTTGAGAATTCTTCCTTATCAATTTTATCGATTCCATTACTATTTTGTATGTAGTGATCGTATTGTTTCTTTTTTCTTCTATCATCTAGTTTTGGCATATTTAATGCCTCTAAGCTCTCCTCGTAGCTCTTGTCTTTCAGTTCCAGAAGCCATTTAGTAGCATGTCTTTGCACCTTTTCCAGTTTATTGATGTGCTTCTTAAGATATGGGCACCATACAACCACTACATATTTCAACCTTGGTCTCACAAAGTTCGTGAATAATTTCTGTAATACAGGTATTTCAACATCCATGTATTTAAAAGAAGTTCTGAAATTGGAAAGTGTAATATAGCATAGCACAGCATACCTAGCACGTTGACCAAACCATACACTAGAAAGTGAAAAGACGACGATGTTTCAGTCCGTCCTGGACCATTCTCAAGTCGATTATCACAATCAATCTGTGAATGGTTCAGGACGGACCGAAACGTCGTCGTCTTTTCACTTTCTAATGAGTGGTTTGGTCAACATATTTCAGCCACGTTATTGTGACTCCTCGTCTGCATACCTAGCATAAAAAGTGTGTATGTACTCACCTAGTTGTGCTTGCGAGGGGTTGAGCTTTGGCTCTTTGGTCCTGCTACTCAACCGTCACTCTACTGGTGTACAGATTCCTGAGCTTCTTGAGCTCTATCTCAAGAAGCTGTATTATGTGTTTGTGTGGGTGTGTGCACGCACGTGTGTGTGTGTGCAGTAAGTATGAAGAAAGGTGATTTATAAACAATGCAAATTAAAATGTTGTATAAATGATTACTACTTTGTGCTGTGTTGTGCACAAGGTTTGGTATGGATGCAGAGTAGATGTATAACTCCCAGTGATAAAATATTGAGACTTCCTCTTTGAAAGAGCCATAAAGGGTTAACTCCATTTCCAAGTACTGTGTGCAAGAATAAGTATATATTATTTATGTAAATTAGTATTATGTTCTGGCTTGTGTATTTAGTTATTGCTTAGTGGTGGAATTTTATCATAGAGATAGGATTTGATATAATTTTGAGATTGTAGTTTACTGTCCATATAAAAATTGTGCAGTTTTACTCAGTATGTGATGTCTTCAAACTTTTATAGGGCTTCATGTTGTTAACTATTTCACAAGATCTGTAGCATAATAAATTTGAGTAGATGTGAATCTGTTATCACGTGTGTGTGTGTGTGTGTGTGTGTGTGTGTGTGTGTGTGTGTGTGTTTGAACTCAGCATAAATATACAACAATCTGATAATGTGAAGATTGAGTATATGCCAAGGTGAGTGTGTATCTGAGAACATGTACTCCATGTATGGACGAGGCACAGAACCCACATGTACATTTCACCAAACATTTCATTTGAACTTACCAGAATGAGTTACTTAGAAGAAAAACAAAATTTAAATTGTGTGCGAGTGTAAAATATGTTTTTTTAGTTCAGATTATGCTTTGGTAGTTATATAAAACTAAGACATTAAAATGTAATGGTTGAGCTATATTAAATAATTAATGATGCTATACGTACATAGAAATCAGAAAGATAATTATATAATTGTTTTCTAACCTTTATGTGGTACTGTACTTGAGGAATACTTTCATGCATTTGGGTTAAATTTTCAGTGCTTATAATTTAATTATATTATTCATTGTGTCGGGAAACAGGCAGCCAGTGTGTTTTATACACGTTAGGCTTACATCAAATTGCTGAACCCCCTTCCCCTTCCCCCAGGATGCAAACCCAACCTGCCCTCCCACAGCAAGCTGGCTAATTCATGGGTACCTACTTACTGCTAGATGAACAGGGGCACCCTTTTTAGGGTTTGGTGATAGGAAATGCACCCAATGCACCCGAGATTCGAACCCGGAATTTTCTATTGTGTGTCGAGGACGAATCCGATAGTACTGCAGGGACCCCTTAACATGTATAAATATGTATAGGAAGCATGGCTTCATCAATATTAGCTCACCCATGTCTAGGTATCAGGGGATATTTTGAGAGAAAATATTTTTTTCATGCACGCACACTTGCACGTACTCAGAAAAGACACATATTTGTCGGTAATTTTGAAACGTTACATGACAAAGAGTGCTGGGAAGATGGGACACCACGAGTGTAGCTTTCATCCTGTAAACTATACCTAGTTAATTACAATCACCCACA